CATGATGGAATAAAAGTAATTGACGTCAAATTTTGAAAAGATTTTTTTGAAAAAGAATTAATTATAGGGCCCTAGGATAAGATTTAGTATGATAGTAATACGAATGAGTTAATAGAATAATTGTTAATAATTGATGAAAAGTTAATTTTTTTTTTTTGTGTTTAAAATTAAATGGTTAAAGCGCGTAAGTTAGAAAATTAAATCATTTAAAGAAATAAATTAGTAATAAGAAAAATAAGGGATAGGAAGTCGAATATTATTAAAGGGAATTACGGAGTAATTAACCGGAGATTGTTTTAATAATATTCGAACGCGGTACAAGCGCGTGCTCATGAAACATCGCGGAACTGGGCGAGCAGAACGGGTGAGGAAATAAACCGTAACGAAATTTAACACGCGTAGCATAGGCGATTGAACGTTTTACGTGTTATTTGTTAGGTACTCATCCATTTACGACGTACAACGCGCGTTTACGCAATTTTTTTTATAAATAATAATAGTAGAATAAATACTATTGGTAATTAAATACGTGGATAGAATATTAATGGAATAAGTAAAATAATAATTATAGTATAATTATTGTATAGATTTGAATAAGTAAATTAATAAATATAATTTATATAAAATTATATGTACCTGATGTTTAGTTATATATATGACAGAATCCGAAACTAGTTCTGCGGACAGTTCAGTAAAAGTTAAAAAATATAAAACTAAGATAGAAGAAAATCTTAGATTTAAAAAGAAAAATTTTTACGAATTCTTAACTCAAAATAATTCGCTAATTTTCGTGATTTTTCCATATTTTGTTAATTTTTGAACTTTAAATGCTTATAAAAAAAAATTGTGACTAAGGATTTTTAATATTTTTCATCTGCCTTTGAAACAATATACTAGGAGCCTTCTATTAAATTTTCAAGCTTTCGCAACCAACAAATAAAATTTTATTGATATTTTTAGAAAAAAACTAAAAAAAAAATGAAAAATGAAAATGTCCCTAAACAGTTCAATATAAATCAAAATATTTTGAAAATATTATCGTGTATAGAAATTGCAAATATATACAACCAGTGAAAATTTCATGTATATACGTTCATTTGTTTTAGAGTTACACCAAAAACCAAAATCGATTTTTTGGAAAACCGATTTTGCGTAAAAATTCCCGTTAAAAAAAATAAAAAAAAAACACACATCATTGTAAAATCAATACATTCATCGTTTCACTAAGAATCTAAAACAGGCTATGATAATATTTATGACAAGGTTATCTCATCACCTATATACAGTATTGAAAAGTCGAAATCCCAGTACCCTTGAACAATGCTTCAAAATGGCGATTAATGAGATGCTTGATGCTTGAATATGAGTCGAAAGTGGAGATGGACAAATTACAGAGACAAATTGGTAACGGAAAACAACGACAAAACGACGGTAATGGAAATAACGCAGTTAATCGCGGAGGAAACGGTAATTCAAATCAAAATAACAGGAATAACAATTTCAACGGATATAACAACAGATAAGCTAACCACATTAACCGCAGTAATTATGGAATAATAATCGCGGTGGATATGGTTCACACACGGTTAATCGCGGCGGTTATCGAGGCGGCAATAATTATGGACGAAATTTCAATAGCAATAATGTACTATAAAATAATAATAATCAAAGTAACACCGGATGCTACACGTGTGGCAAGTCTAATCACTTAGCAAGGGACTGTTGGATCGGTCGACCCAGTGCGCAACAAAATATGTATAACAATAATCGTGTAAACGGTACGCGCAATGCGGGCAACAATAATGTTCGTAGGGACAACAACAATACTCAGAGTGTACATTGCAGCTACTGCAATAAGGTAGGTCATGAAATTTCAAACTGCTATACGAAACAGAAAAATGAAAAAAAAACACGTCGGGAAACGCCAGTGGACCATCGCCAGTGGGAGTCAGATTGGTCCAGGAAATAATTCAAGACCCACACACAGGATTTTCCACATCACAGCAAGATTAATGGATAATCATATTACTTTAAAATCACTTCGTTTTAATAAGGATCAAATTAAATTATTAGTCGATACTGGTGCGGATCTAAATATTATTAAAGTTAATGACTTAAATTGCCTAGGTCAATATAAATAATACCACGTACAGAACACCACAATGTTAAATATAATTATTACGAATTTATAACTTTTTATTATGGCAACTAACAAATAGCTTAATTAACAAAATTAAAAGTAAATAAAGAGAGCAGGAAGTAACAATAGATACTAGTAAACAGTTGTAAGTACAATACGAAAATAATAATTTGAATAAATTTAATTTCAGAATAGAAACAGAAAGGGAATAAGATTAGAAATCGGTGCGGTGTATAATTGGGCATATTTGATCTATTATTATTAAAAATTGATCAATGGAATACTATTATATGCTGAACAGATTAACCACTTAAGGAAAAATGTTGGAATTTGGTCATTTGGTGGTTGATTCAAAAATTGTGTATATTGCAAATTTTTTTTAACAGACCCACCAATGGACCAAATGGACAAATAAATCTCAATGAAAAATTAGAGGGACAAGGTATTTTTAATTTAGCCAGTGTCCTAGAATGATGCTTTGATTTATAGCACATTTTGACGTCACGGGTTCGATTAGCAAGATAAAAAACACATACAACAATAGAATAGAATAAAATCAATTTAATACTGGTCTTGATTATATTGTAGTAAGCGAGTTACTACGTAACAAATAAAACAAATTCCACAGGTACATAATTAGTATACTATACTGTAATTCGGCATATATCGGATATTAGAATCGGAAATAGGATTTCCTACTGGTTAACATAAGGAAACAGGCTCACTGAATAATATAATGACTCAGGAAGCACTGTATACGACAATATTCAAAATATAAAATATAATAGAGTAGAATGATTATTTTCATGAAATAGACCATGAAATAGACCATAGATTAACATTTTAGTAATACGCAGAATTATACTGGGAAGTCATAAAATGCGTGGGCTAGAACGATGACCACACCAAATCACATCCGTGAGCCGAGATACAGTATCTATATAGGCAAGGGGTAAGGGGAACCTCATATAAAAGGGAGCCCGAAACGACCTGTATTCAGACGTGTACTACCATCCACTAGTGCAAGCACCTTCACGCCACTCTGTACAACATTATTTGGACTTAGAAAAAATTATCGAACGTTAAAATAAAATTCACAATAATTAACATCTGTCTTTTATTTATTCATCATCCACGACTTCAACATCAAATAAAGTGTCTGCGACCTGCATCTATAATAACTTGGTAGCCACTTATCTACTATTAGTACTACGATAGTAGGTACCAAGCACCAAGATTATTACAATATAATAGAACTTAAATAAAATAGTTTATTGCTAGTCTGGACCTGCAATAAAAAGATATAATCAAATAATAGTAATAGGAATAGTAATATTAACTAGATATAAAATATAATAATATAATGGAAAATTTATATATAAGAAAAAATATAAACGTAGAAAAAAAAATGAAAAAAAAAAGGGAAAATTTAGGATTAAATTTTTATAAAATCATATACAAAGACATAGAGGAACGTATTAGCATATATTAGACATAATTAACATGGTGATGGAAAAAGAAATATATTAATCTAGCTTATTTAAAATATAAATAACATGGTGATGGAAAAATATATATATAATATACCATTATTTTATCATATATTTATATATTGCACGAAAAAAAATATATATATTGTAATAGATTTCAAGAATTCATATTATATAAAAATATATATAATATAGCGATTTACACATCGTACATTTACGTATCTTGATTTTAGTGTATCTCAGTTCACATGCAAATCGGCGTCGTTTTACCTAGCTTTATGAATTAATTCGACCGAGATTCCTGCGGTGGATTGAAATGATTAACGATAATGTAACGATCTGGTGGCTTGGTACCTACTATCGTAGTGCTGACAGTAGATAAGTGGCTACCAAGATGTTATAGTTGCAGGTCGCAGACACTTAGTTTGATGCTGAAGTCGTGGTAGATAAATGAATAATAAGACAGTTGTTGAGTATTGTGAATTTTATTATAACGTTCGATAATTTTCTAAGTCCAAAATAATATTGTACAAAGTGACGTGAAGGTGCTTGCTCTAATGGGTGGTGGTACACGTCTGAAAACAGGCCGATTCGGGCTCCCTTATATATGAGGTTCCCCGTACCCCTTGCCTACATATACGATATCTCGGTTCTCACGGATGTGATTTGTGTGGACATTGATCCAGCCTACGCTTTTATGATTGAATGTATACTGAAGTATGACTATTATTAAAATAATCATTTTACTCTTTTTTTTTTATTTGAATTTCGTTGTATGCACTCAGTGTTTTCCCTATGATTATTATAAAATAATCATCTCATTCTTTTAATTTTGGATCTCGTTGTGTGTGTTCAGTATTTCTGTCAAATGTTACAACGCCTATTTCTGAACCCTAATTTTCTTATCGCCCGGTTATGCCGGTCCATCGTATATTATAATAATAACTATGTACTTATGAAATTGGTACAGTGAAACCTCTCTTAACGGACACCTCTAATTAGCGGACACCTCTCAATAACGGGCAAAATTTCCGGTCCCGGCATAGTCCCGTTGAAAATAATAGATAATGCTCCTCTAAATAGCGGACACCTCTGAATAACGGACGCGGACAGGTTAGGTAGTCCGAAGTGTTTAAATATATCTAAATAACGGACAGCTGTCCAAGAAATACAAACTTATTGTGTAGGTATACAATACAATATGTACCGATATTTTACCGATAAAGACATTTATCTAAATCGTAATTTAATGAATACGATAAGGTATGAAAAATTACAAAATTAAATAAGAACCTATAGGTACGAACGATAGTGATGTTATGACTTAGGTACTGATATCAATAGCATTGTCCGTTAGTATCGTATTTACCATGGCTCCGGTACGGTCGCGTTTGACGTTGAAAAATAAAATCGACATAATAAAATGTTATGATGCAAAAAAACAAAGTGTTCGTGAATTAGCGACTCAATTTAAAGTTGGTAAAACTCAAATTGGAACCATACTCAAGTCCCGGGTAGATCTATTGCGTAAATGGTGTGATGAAAACGTGAATGGAGAGACAAAAAAGAATTTTATTGAAGGTAAGGGCTTTGAAATAGACCATGTGTGTTATGAATGGTTCTGCCGCGTCCGTGCTAAAAATTTGCCTATCTCTGGTCCTCTCATACAGCAAAAAGCTATAGAAATTGCTAAAACTTTGGGTAGAACTAATTTTAAAGCGTCTAATGGATGGCTCGAAAAATTTCGCAAACGTCACAATATTGCTTATAAAGCTATCTGTGGAGAAAGTAGTTCCGTTGACCATGATATTGTGGACGACTGGAATAATAAATTAGTCGAAATATGTGAAGGATTTATTCCAAAAAATATTTTTAATTTAGATGAAACTGGCTTATTTTTTCGTGCTTTACCCAATAAAACAATGTGTCTCAAAGGTGAGAACTGCAGTGGTGGAAAAATAAGTAAAGAACGAATTACAGTTATGTTGTGTGTTAATATGGAAGGCGATTTTGAAACACCTTTGGTGATTGGAAAGGCGTTAAAACCCCGGTGTTTTAAGAACATAATCGTCAACGATCTTGGAGTAACGTGGAAGGCTAATCGTAAAGCTTGGATGACACAAGAATTAATGAAAGAATGGTTATCGAATTTCGATAGAAAAATGCAAGGCCGGAAGGTTATCCTTTTTCTTGATAATGCGACTAGTCATCCTCATTTGAATTTACAGAATGTGAAACTCGCATTCTTTCCACCAAATGTAACTTCAACTTGCCAACCTCTTGACCTAGGCATTATAAAAAATTTCAAAACTCATTACCGCATAAATCTTTTAAAACACGTAATTTCGTCTATAGATAACGAAAATATAAAAAAACCAAATGTGACAGTTCTTGAGGCAGTTATGTGGAGTACAGCAGCTTTAAAAAAAAATAAACAAGGAAACGGTCACTAAATGTTTCATAAAAGCCGGGTTTCCGGGGTCAGATAATATTGGTAAATTAACACAAGTAGAGGATCTGAGTAATGAGTTAACGAAACTAGTTTCAACAATATATCCAACAAATGCACAGGACTATTCGTCAATAGATGAATGCTTACAAACCGAAGACTTATCATTGAACATTGAAGACATAATCAATGATGGCATGAGTGAGGATGAAAGTCATGACGTGGAACAAGAAGAAGATAGTACAGACGGTGTAGACGAAGAAAAAATAACACTCAAAGAAGCATTACAGTTAGCGAATAAACTGAAGACGTTTTGTCTCAATAAGAGTGATGCAGTTTCATTGTCACTAGTTAATCAACTCCAGTCTAATTTTGAGGCAATTGCAATACAAGAAAAAAAACAAACTAAAATTTCAGATTTTTTTTTTCAATAAGTAATTTTGTATAACATATTTTATTACGTCTAATTATAATAAACTATGTAATGATAAATAAATGTTTAAAAAGTCAATAAAATTTTATTACGTCTAATTATAATAAATTATGTAATGATAAATAAATGTTTAAAAAGTCAATAAAATTTAAATTTTCAGACATAAATACATACATATTATTTTATCAATTTTTCCCAATAGCGGACACCTCTCAATAGCGGACAATTTGGTCGGTCCCGTGAGTGTCCGCTATTCAGAGGTTTTACTGTATTTGTTTCTGTCAAATGTTACTACGCCTATTTCTGAACCCTAATTTTCTTATTACCTGGTTATGCCGGTCCACCGTATATTATAATAATAACTATGTATTTATGAAATTGATATTACTCCGTAGTAACTGGCTTACTACAATAATATAGAACTTGGTATAAACCGAACGTAGTTCAAACTACTCTCTACATTTTCCTGATATCTCTAAGAACAATTTGAAATTTTCACAAAATTGGTCATTTGGTCAAGTAATTTTTGAGTATAATATAAGCTACAAACATACATTCAACTAATCAACTCTTATATTTTTCTTTTAAGATACCTACTATTATAATTTCTTTGTTTGAAGCCATAAACGAGACGATTTAATGCATTTTTTTTATCCCATATGCCAGAATAATCAATGTAACCAATTGATATACATAAACATATACATATTTTTGTATATACAAATAAAATGCTAATTTCTACTATTACTACTATATATATCTTCTATACAATTTCTATTAATTATTTCTACTACTATTATAATTTATAATCTGTAAGATGTAATTGATATCAACCATTTATAAACAAATGAAAATTTACGATTTCCAACCTAAATCCTAGTGTAATCTTTCGGGCTACTTTTCCAATTTTTCTTTCCAAAAAAACTTCATTTGAACCTTTATGAACATTAAAAAAAAATTAGTTAAATTGGGCTAGTCGATCTCGAGTGATGAGGTTATCAACGGACAGCAATACAGCATATTATTATTTTTAATTTATAGATTATAGAAGATTAATTAATAGTTATTGATTATAATATTTACATATTTTATTACAACCATATACCTACTACAACAAGCAAAAATCTAACTATTCTGCAGTTTTTATTCCGTTTCGGTAGGTATATATAGTGCCTGTTTTATACTTGCTTAGACCTCACACACTGTGAACACCCGTGTACATTCTTTAAGATATGCCGAATAATATTCATGGGGAACTGTTAAAGTAGTGGGTGGTCTTATACTCCTTAGAGGCTTGGAACACCACAGGATATTCGTCCAGTACATCTGTCTGCTGACGCACCATTGTGGCATTGTAGAATACTCAGTGTTGTCAAGACGTGAATTTTTATTTTCTTAATCCTCGAAGATTAACGGCCTATTGATACATAGACCTATTGAAAATAAAATGTCACGGCACATAATAATATAATATGTTACAAGTTATAGTTAAATTGAAAAAAAAACCGAACATGAAAAGTATATAGCTACGATCTTTTTTTGTTGCTTGGGTCGAATTGTGTTTCTGTATAATATGCTACTATACTATATATATAGGTACAGTCTACAATTCTATAGAGTAAAAATAATATTTTATAATACTTCTTTATAAAATCTTGGATTTGACAGCATTAAAACCATTAGCGGGAGCACGAGGGGGGGGGAGTGTGTACAGTGGCCATCGCTGTGAGCTGTATACCGTAATTATTATACATATATTTTTTTTTTATTATTAATCTTTAAAGCCTGACGACTATGGCCATTAGCTGATTGTGGGGTTTTATGATTGTATAGGTACATATATTAATATATATTTATATACGTACTTAAATCATATACATACTATTACATGATCTAAGCATCAAATGTACCAAACCTTAAAAAATAAAAAGTTAAAAATAACATAGATAGGTATACTTACTTAATGAGAACAACTAATTAAACATCTTAAAAAACAAAGTTGATAATTATTAATGATAAATAATTTATGCTTCGGAACTGATAAGCTGCAGTAACCACGATTGATTGTGAAGAACCTTTAAGTATGATCGTTTCTGTAAGACTGTCTGTCTCTGTTACAGAGACACTGCCCGCTGGTCCATAGATTAATATTACTCTATAATGTGCTGGCCTACAATGATATTTTACGATGTTCCTACTATAGTTCCTAGTTCTAATATGGGGTCGAGATTTGGTATTTACCCACAGTGCAAAATCGTAAAACACAAGCAGAAGCGCCTGTTTGAATTTATATCGTACTTCTCAATGGTCAATAAATAATAACAATTTATGATAAATTGACGATTAATAATTGGGTTTATAATAATTATTACTATATTTAAATTATTTTTTTGGTTGTTTGATCACTATTTGATTGTGCTCTAAAGAAAATTTAAAAAATGAAGAAATATTTCTAGTGGGTGACCAGTGAGTAAATTGATGTATGTTACACTTTAATTGCTTTTTGTTTGAAGTACCCATCTTAATCATAATTTGCTTGGCCGCTCCCCTACCACATATAGATCTTCCATCTGCGCAAATAGGATATCCTATATTTAAAACTATATATTATTTTCGATTCTGAGAGGAGTGATGAATATAATATTGATTTTAAAATGTGATATTTTTCTGTCTGTAATCAGTCATCAGTCATCACCCTTTGCAGAAGTAATAATTGCTTCAATATAATTTCAATATTTTTACTGGTTGAAAAGTGGATTTAGTACTAGTAACTAAAAGTGAGAGTTGAGAAACCGTCTTTAACGGCTACTTCTATTTAAATGTTTTTTATTTTATATAATCTGAGGAAATATCTTTAAGTCTTTAAGCAAGGTTTTAGTTAGAATTTCTATCTAAAGTAGTACCTGTATGATAGGTATAACGTGCATAGTAATATTATAAAACTATATTATTACTAAAACGATAAGTCGTTATTATTCTATTCTATTTTTTTTTAAAGAAGTATAGATGTTAAATTTAATAAATAACAATAAAAAATAGTACTTACATAGTTTGTAGAAATTGAAGTATTTTTTCTAAGTATGAAGGCTTGTTAGAACTATTTTGACAATCTTTTTTGACTGGTTACTATTTGTTGAAGATGTTTGGTAATATGCTGGCCGACTATTGGTTGGTGAAGAAGACTGCTGTTGGAACTGCTGTGCCTGAACTGATGGCGATAAGCTAAGAAATTCTGTGTTTTATACAAAAAAATAACCCTCTCATCTCTCATTAAAAACTTTTTTTTGGGATGGATTTCGACGATGGAGGTCACGCCAGACGTCTTTTTACGTAATCGTGTTATTTATGGAATATAATATTTTATATAATAACATAATTTCCGCACTGCAAATAATTAACAATTTATGTCATACGTTTAAGTAGCATCAATTTTTTTTTTTTTTTTTTGCAGTTCTTTCTGTATCCCATACGAATTTCCAAATGTATATTTTTGAGAAAAAGTACCTTGTCACGTTTTGGTCACACAATGGCATACCTTTACTAGCTACCTATAGAAATTCAAATGACCCTGCAGGGTAGTGACACAAAGGGCAGTTTAGGTTAGGTACATAATAATAAAATATTTGGATTATTTCCTTCTCAATGTATGAATACCACGTATTTCACATGTGGCGGTGCATAGGAACAACAATAACTATTAAGTAGGATTTCACATGACTAATGTATCCTGTTACTGGCAACGGGATAAAATATAATCAAAATACTGACATCTATAACAATAAAATATATTCTTTTGTCACAGTTATACCTATATTGAACTGAATGGTTAGGATCTTTATACTTACAAGATTAATGTTTTTTTTTTCTCGGAAAGGACCGTGCCCTTCTAAAATACTTAAAAAGACAGTCTCCCGCAGTTAGAGATGGTACCTACAACGAACACAAGATGATAGTATAAAGGACCCCACACACTGCAGCGGTGGCGGTAAAATTGTGTCAGGGACACAAACTACCGCCACCCCCAACCACCACCGCTGCAGTGTTCTGAAGATCTTAGTAACAAATGGAAATAACGTTTATGCATGTGTCGTGGGCATCGCCCGATTGCGGCCCAAAGTAAACTTTTTACCTTCCCGATTGCGGCCCGTCCATAATAGGTAGGAAATAATATTTAAGTGGTTATCAAAACTAAATAAATATCCCGATTGCGTCCGATACGTATATTGACACAAATATAATTATCGTATTCACTATTCATACGATCACCAATTCCAGCTAAACCAACCAATATACAAGAAGTACATGAAGTTTTAAAGTCCATTGATATCGAAACAAACAATGGTGTTAGGTGAACAATTTTTACTTATCAACGATAATATTAAGAATTTTATTCTATTTTCCTGTGAAAGTAACTTACGAAATTTATCATAAATTTCTCAAATTTATGTCGATGGGACATTCCGATGTTGTACTAAATATTTTTATCAATTATTTACTATCCATGCATTGATTAATGGTCATTATTATCCTAATGCATATTTTTTATTACCAGACAAAAATTTGAAAGCTATCAAAATGCATTTAATGGACTAATAGAACAATGTAGGTAATACATTTAATTTTAATTTTAAGCCCGATGTAATATTCGTAGATTTTGAAACATCTATACACAAGGCAATTCGTTTAACTTAGCCATTGGCTACTATAAAAGGTTGCAAGGTTCCATCTCGGTCAATCGTGGTGGCGAAAAATACAACCTTTAGGGTTAAGTACGGATTATAAAGACAAAGATAGTGATATAGGAAAGTTTTTAACATATATATTTGGATTACCATTTTTAGAACCTGAAATGGTAGGTGAATGTTTTGCCATAGATTTAGCTTCTATACAACCTTCAACAGCTAAAATACAAACATTTTGTGATTATTTAGTAGACACTTATATTGATGATGATTCTGATTTTCCCCCTGAAATATGGGCTACTTATAGTTCCAGTATGTA